AAGGCTATGTGTTTTTGATGTATGTACAAACACTGCAGAATAAACAGATGGGGCTTACTTACACATTCATCACCCCCTCTGACATCCTATCTTGAACACTAGCCTCAGGACCCAGTGACGGGTCAAATAATAGTCACCATCTTTAATATTGTAGAATGTTCTAGAAAAGCCAGACCTCACACTTACTGCATGAAATCTATGTAATTATGAAGAAACAATTGGGATCTACCTGGAAAATAGATTTTTATGATGTAACTTACAAAACTTTAAAGTCTACCTGCCACAATGTATATTTTCAACTCAGAAGCAGGTGAATGTTTTTTTTTTTTCCTATAAAAGATCAAGTGATTACTTCCTGGTTATGAGGATGAAATCAGATTAAATTACATATAAAGCATGGAAAAGTCATCTAAACTGTTTTGCAAATCAATCATTGTGTCTCCTTACTGCTGTGGAACATACCTTTACAATGTGTGAATATAAGCCACTGTGATTGGCTTAATGAACAAGCCACTAGCTGAACAGAATGAAGTTAGGTGGGAAAGCCAAACTGAGAATGATGGGATGAAGAAGGGCAGAGTCAGGAGTTGCTGCAGATGCAGAGGGAGCAGGAGACGAACATGTCATCTAATAAAGGTACCACCACATGGCAGAGTGTAAATAAGGAATATGGGTTAACTTGAAGTGTAAGTGTTAGCTAGTAACAAGCCTGAGCTATAGGCTGAGCATTTATAAGTAACATAAGCCTCTGAGTGGTAAATTGCGAAGCAGCTGCTGGGTATTTGGGACCACATAACTCCAGGACAGGAAACATCCCTTTATACCTTACTGTGAGTTGGTTTTTGACTATTTCAATGACTACCTGAACGGTGAGTTTTGGTGAGGACAGGGTGTTAATAACACACAGTGCACCTATGGATTTATTGCCCCATGGAAAGTGACACATTTGGAAATCTGAGTCTTTTCCTCCTGTTAGTGGAATACAGGTGCAATCTGAATTTTGCTTTACTGCCACCAGCAGTCCTGGAGAAGCACTGTCTTTAGTAATGAGCACCAGAATGAGGAAGGGCAGGCAGAATGTGCTGTAATTCTTCCATCCCCTTCACCACCAGACCTTGACCTACACCAAGCCAATCAACTGTCACCATTCATGAGACAGCTATGAAATCTTTATAAAGTGTGCTTAACTTTAAATGTTATCTTGCCACAACCACAACAGACCGAGAGGTTTACTGAGTGACAGTCTAGAGTAGGTTTGCCCGAGTGTGTCTGTGGGGCTTTGAAGCTAGGCCCTGAATTACATGAGTGAAGTAGGAAGTGTGGCTGCATTCCCCTCTCTCTGCTCTTGCAGACAGGATGTGACCAGCTCCCTGAATTCCTGCTTTGACTTCCCCCAAAACGATGGGATGGGCTGTCACCTGAATTGTGAGCTGAAATAAACCCTTACCCCAAGTTGTTTTTGTAAGTGTTTCACCACAGCAACAGAATGCAGCTGGAACATAAAGGATTAAGACTCAACTACTATAAAAACACATGTTGGGAATGATAGTTTCAGGGACCGAGGTTGGAGTTCAGCTACTACAATGCTTGCCCAGCATGGCTAAAACCCTGGGCTCCTCAGGGCCACATGAATAGAGCATGGCAGCGTTATACCTGTAACCTGGGGATCTGGGAGGTGAAGCCAAAAGGATCCTCTAAGTTCAAGGCTACCCTTGGCCACACAATGAGTTCCATGCTAGCCTGGGCTACCAAAGGCCTTATCTCAAAAACAAAACAAAACAAAACAAACCCCTCCCAAATCAAACAAACAAGCAAATAAAACAAACAAAAGGTTCATATATCTTGGATAAATTAATGTTTAAGGTATTTTTCTGGTAAACTTAAGATACAGACTTACCCCCTCTCTATCTCCATGTCTATGGTAGCAGCCTGGGGCATTTTCACCAACCACAATAAAGCCCTACAAATGGAAGGCATCTAAGATTAGGTATTCAGGTATATTTAAAAATTTGCTTTAAAATCATATTATTTATTATGTGTGTATGTGGTGTGTGTGTGTGTGTGTGTGTGTGTGAGTGTGTGTGTAGGTCAGAGGACAATTTGCAGGAGTTGGTTCTCTCCCTCTAGCTTCTAGTTCCTGGGGACTGAACTCAGGTCAACAGCCTTTCACCGACCCATTATGGAGGCTTAAAATAAGACTATTGTACTCATTTTTACTTTCATTAACTTATGAATAGCAAAAAAAATACAGTAGAAATAGATATAATCAAATCTGTTCATGAATAAGAAGCAAAATAATAGAAAATATTTGGCACAAATATCAAAAGAAACAAACATATTCTTTTTGTAGGAAATTTTAATGTGGCAAAATTACCATGCTTCCTTAGCCATTTCCACACATAGAGATCTCTCTGGCTACGGAATATCCCCCCAAAATGCTACAAAAATGATTTAAGCTGTATTCTTTATTCCTAGCTAAGTTCATGGGAAGTTAATGAAAGCAACTGAAGGTGATTTAGGAGACAACACAATTCTACAATGTAACTTAGCTTTGGTATTGGAGCTGCCCTAGAGGTGTCCCCTTCCCTTCTGGCTAGAAGGATCTGGGTTTCAAGCAGTTGTCTCTACATGAGTGACAGGACTAAAAGGCAGGGAGGGTGTCAATCTACTCTGGTTGTCATAGGGTTGGGGGCTCAACCACAGGAAACTAGTCTTCTCAGACCTAGCAGCCGTGATGTCCAAACACTTGCCACAAGGTCCTTCTTCCTGGCTATCAGACAGCCAGCCTTGCTTCTTGCCATACCCTCAAGTGACCTTTCCTGCTGTGCTTTCAGGGTTAGAAATAGCAAAACCAACACATTCTCTGGTGTCTCTTTCTCTTCTTATACAGACTTTAGTCTTTTTCTCTCCTTTTGCTACAAAATGGTCAGATTTTCATGCCAGGGCTGTGAAAGGGCAGCTGCAGGCTACAGTGGGTATTGGAGGGTCAAATCTCTCCTCTCTGCCTGGCATCCCCAGGCACCAATCAATCAAGCAACTCAGGCATCAGATCTTATTCCCTCATAGGACAGGTCAGAACTTACAACCTGGGTTATACACAAGGGTAAAGGGGGTGTGGTCCAGGGTTTGCCTTGTTACTCAGAGAAGTTGGTGGCACTGGGAAAGCAGAATGTTTAACTGTCACTAAAGTGACCCAAGGGAGACAAAGGTGTGCTGGTCACACAGACAGGTGTGATTTCAGAAGCAACAAGGGAAGACAGGGAGAAAGAAAATAACTATCACCCTGCAGCTGCACCCCAACAGCTTTCCATGGAAATATAACACAAGCTGTGAGTAGGTTGGGCAAACAGTGCACCAAACTGTTCGGGAAGTCGAACAAGACAGAACTAAAATTCTAGATTTGTAAGTTGAAGAGGAAATCAGACATTGTTCGAAAGCTCTCGTGTTTGATGGGGAAAGAACAGGAAATTTAGGTTTTGTTAGATTTTCCAGGGAGCATGAAAGATTAAAAATTGAGTGCTCTACTTTGAAACTAGTAAAAGAGAAGTCCATGGGAAAACATTCTATTCAAAAGAATGTAAGAAGATGAGGGCTGTGAGAAAGCAGGAAACGGGAGGGGGGGGCAAAATACACAGAATAAAACGTAAGGCAGAAGAGAGAACTGACTCCCACAAATTATCCTCTGATCTCCACATATATGTTGTGGTTTGTCCTCCCCCAATAAGTAAATACTAGAAGTTTAAAAATGATATAAGTAAATCCCAATACATTAGTAGCTTTAAGAAGTATAAATGGTTATGCTTTCTAGCTAAAAATTACCAGGAAAAACAAACTCCAGTTAATTTTTGAAACAAATCTAGTTGGGGCTAAACATACTTAGCAACAAAACACACATAAAACAAAATTAAGTTTCAGAGATAAAATAGTAAGCCCATTAGAAAAGGAAATTCTAACATATTGCAGAATCTGAAAGATCACGCAGAAGGAAAGGGAAAGAAATCCTGTACACAACAGGCCTGGCCTAACGGACATCTAAGCGGAAGTGCATGTTTCCCAAGCACTGTAAAACATATCTACTGACCACAGCTACACTACAAAGCAAACCCTAACAAATCTGAACAACTCAATCGTTTATATACCAATTCTCTGACTAGACTTCAACTATAGGAGTCAATAATAAAAACATAATTTAAATCCATATATGTTAGGAAACAAAGAAAATGTCACATATCAAGGAAAACTCAATTACAATCAAAATGTACACTCAAATCATCATTTCTTAATGGTTGAAAATTATATTATTTCATTTGATTGTTAGAATCCTATGAACCACACATAACCCACAGGACCTCTACTCAACATAGCACAAATGTAAATTATAAAATTAAGTTTTTAAATAAAAATATGTAACAAAGATGAGTTGGAAAGGAAGAAAAGGAGAAGTGTTCACCACTGGACACGACAGCAGAAAAGCCAACCAACTGACCCTTTTAACAGTGCTACAGAAAACTGAGTGCTTAACATGTAAAGCTTCGAAACTGTCCTGTTCTACATTCCTTAGGAAGATATATACAAATTTAGGAGGGAAAGTATTTATTATTTGTCTTGATGCACACAAAGCACAGGAAATCTTTGCTGTTATGTGTCCAGTGACCAAGGTATACAAGCCCACTGGCACACAGAATTCTGATTTGGTGACAGCAGCTATTAAGGGTGTGGTAGTCACTAATGACATTCCAAAGAGTGCCTATGATACAAAGAGGATTTTTACTTGTGGCCCCCCTCCCTTCCCTTTTCACGTGTGGGATATTTTTGGAATTGTTTTTTTTCCATCCACTGAAAGAGAATTAAGAAAATTCTAGCATGCTTCTGTGTCAGCAAGTGCTCTTTCAGTCCAGGGACCAAAGGATGATTGATGAACCTGTCAGGTCCACAGTAGCAGACAGAGAAAGTTGGCAGAAGTTCAGTGTTACTGAAAGAAATCTCAAATACTCATTTCATCTCGTCTATTAGCTTTAATCACATTTCAACATGAGCCAAGAATGAAGCTTTCACAGTTGGCCATACATTTACACAGGCAAGCATTGTCAGTGTTCTGCAGTGAGAACACTGAGATATCACCAGAGAATTAGGTACTTTCTTTCTTACCTTTCTTGACTGAAGAGCAACAGAAAATACTAGAAACACTCACCCGCACCTCAAACCCACTGGCTATGCATCTCCTCAAATGACTGCATGCGAGTCTGTTTAATTTGTAGCAAATGAAATTCCATGTGGTTCTTCGACTAGATTAAGTGCAAGTGTAAAGATCACAGTGGTGATGGACAGCGGTGTTCCATCTGGACACATCTGCTGGAGAGCAGATGTCAACACTGAGGGGATTTACCTCTAACACAGATCCTCTGCAGTGTGGCGGACATTTCTAGTCTGCCCAGAGCTAACTTACATGATTCGGAAGGGCCTCCTTGGCAGATTCTGTCGACTACCCCCTGAGCAGCTGAAGCATGCACATACACTATCCCTTAAAAAGTTTGCCCAAAGCTAAATACACACAAAAGCAAGGAAGTACTATGGGCAAGATGATGATCCTTGGAGAGGCTAAATATCAGAATGCACTTTGGTGGCATTTTTCTCCTAAGCACAGTTTAGAAGATGGAAATATTAAGTTCTAGAAGGTCACCAATCAGGTACGTCTTGTCACCCAGTAAAACACACGGTATTGTGTTGTACTGCAAAATTGGTGTCTCCAAGCAAGTTTGTTCAAAGCTCACCACGGCATCTCTGTCACAGCAGAAGCTGTTCTAAGCCTTCCTCAGAGATGCTTCGACAGGCAGCTGTCACAGCTGCCATTTAATCCAAAATGGTAAACCATCTACCCTTGGTAAAAATGGACTCCTGAAATCCACACATGGCAATCTAAACTAATCACCAATAAGAAGACCAAATCTGGCTAGAAATAAATGTGTCCCATTTTCACTCTTCTTCAAATGATCACATTTAGACACGTAAGCACTCTCTTTTCACCGACATTTATCTGGCTCCAGAAGTTTCTCTCTTCAGACCTTAGAGTGCCACTGAGTATATTTCTCAGCTTGAAGAAAAGGCTACATGGTTGGTGGGAAGATTTGGTGGAAAGCCAGTGCTTTCTCATTCATCTGTCCCTGTAGATCAAATTCTTAAAAGGTGGAAAACTTTGCTAGGTCCTTCTCCATTGCAGCATATTGCTCTTTGAGCCTTTCCATGGCTCTTCTGTGCTCGTCATCCACTTCGGCTCGGTGTTGTGGCTGTTCTTTCAGGAACTCCTCCCACTGGAGCAGACGCCTCTTCTCACTAGCTGTCAAGTGGTCATTAATCACCTGAGAAAACAAAGCATGACAGCCACATAGCATCTTTCAGACACATGCAGATGACACAACAATGTTATCAATGGACAGTTACTACAACAACTAGTGGGTAAGTCATAGTGCTAAAAGTGCATGACTATTTCAATGTGCACTAAGAACTTATACGTGAGGTCTGTAACCCCAACACTTGGGAGGCTAAGGCTGGTCCCTGTGAGTTCAGAGTGACCTTGCCTCATACATACATAAATAAATATATGATATCAGAAACATTTAAAACTTTTCTTACTATAAATGAACATAGGTACTCCCATTTCTACAATTTCTCAAATGCTCAGTGTCTTTATGGTGCCAGCCATCTGAACAGACATGAGGGTCTGAACCCAGAGCCTAGAGATCCCTGGGCTAGTGCTCTACCACCAGCCTTCTAGTATTATTAAATAACAAAAATTCAAGTCATCTTCACACTTTTATTTTTCTCCAAGTTCTGATTAACTACATATAGGTCTTGGTTTGGTTTTCGATTTTTTTGAGATAGGGTTTCTCTGTGTAACAGCTCTGGCTGTCCCAGAACTCACTTTGTAAACAAGGCTGGCCTTGAACTCAGAGATCCATGTGCCTCTGCCTCTAGGTGCTGGGATTAAAGGTAAGTGCCACCACGCCTGGCAACTACATAAGGTTTTAATCAAGTCTAAAAATACATACTGAAATGTCACTGCAAAAAGTTAAAATTTCTGAAACTTTTTTTTTTTATACATTAGAAAGAATCACACATTAGCAGGAGAATCCAAAACATCTCCTGATTCAGTCTGGTTTTTAAAGATACTACCATCTCATGTCAAATATCTAAGTTGTTTTCAGGATGGTTTTTAACATTTCTACACCAACAAAGGTTGCTTTCTCTTGAGTACCATAAAATACAGACAGAATACTGTAATAAAAAAAAAAAAGGATTTGGATTCCGTCAAAGTTCTATGAAACAAACCACCAGAACCTACACAGAACATGTAAAACCCTTCTAAGTTCTTGTATGCCAATTCCAAAGAGTCCAAGAAACTCCCCAGATAATATAGGCTACTGCTGTTATGCATAGTTGCTTCCCAGAGGTTGAAGGTATATCTTTTAAGAATTTGCAGACACAGGACTTGGAAGATTTGAGCTGGGTGTCACCTGAAAGCTTCCTTCCTGAGGTCTACCAGAGGTACTATGCAAACTGTCAAAAGAGGAAAGCAATTGATGCCTATGAATCACAACAATGATTACCATGGCAAATCAGCCCTCAAGTTCAATAGTGGCACTCATATCCTGGCAGTAACCAATATCTGTCTAATTTATCCTTATATCTGCAGGTAAGTGCAGTTCTCACTCCAGATCAAAGAGGCTCTCTTTACAGCAAATGGAAACTATTACAGAATACAACTGGTCAAAATGCAGAGAACATCTGACCATAGGGTGCCCAACCCTAATTAGGTTAGGGTAGAGGTTGTGCTACCTCAGACTCAGACAACATCTCAGAAGAGAGGGAGGGAAGAGTCTAAGAGCCAGAGGACCAGAAAGTCTGCTATGAGACTCTGCCCCATAGAAACGACAAGGAAACTACATACATGAAATCTCAATAATATGGCTACCTAACCAAGACCCAAACAAGGATACCAGTTGACATGCTAACACAGAAGGGGGAAAAAAGTCTCATGGGGCCCCACCTCCAGACAAAGAACTACAGGTAACTAATGAAAGCTGAGAGTAGGAGAACTAGACTTTCCCAGGGATGAACCCCCTTTAGTTGCTCAATTCCAGGTAGTCAGCCCAGAAACCATTAACACAAAATAGATGTAGCAGGTTGTATTTCTTTATTTACATGTATATATCAGAAAAAGAGGCCATTAATTTAGGAGGGAGTGAGAGGGTACATAGGAAGAGAGTTGGGGGAAGAAAAAGAAAGGAGGAAAAGTAATTATAATTTAATTTAAAATTTTAAAATTATAAAAAGATTGTGAACTTGAATGCCAGCACCAGAACTAGGAAAAGGTGAAACTGTTTCTGGCAGTCTGTAAGTTCTGGGAGCTCTACAAAGGCCAATACATTCTCAGTGACTATGAAATGCACCCCAGAATTAGCTGCTCAGCATTGTTTACCCACTTCTAAAAGTTCCTCTTGTAACATCACACAACTCATTTTACAGACAAATAAATGAAGGCTTCAGGACAGACCATTGCCTATCCATTGTCCCTTATCTAACAGCTGGACTGCTGAGTCAAACTCAGGTCTATTTAGCTTGGAAACCCATGCCTTTCCTACCAAGGGTTGCATAGCAGGTCTTTGGCAAGGTGGTTTTACACAGGCTGCTAACCCTTTCTTTTGCAAGAGAAAAAAACAAAACAAAAAAAACTCTGGTTATAGGTTTTCTGCTAAGTTGTCTAATGTTTTCAAGAACCGAGAGTTTTAAAGTGAGAATTGAAATGAATCTGAAGATGTGGTTTTAGTTACATGTTCCCCTAAAACATGCTTTAGAGCACTGGGATGTGAGCATGTAGCAGAGAGTGGAAAAAAGGGGCTACATGAGGGTTCCAGGAGCCAATGCATCTGAGAAACGATTTAAACCACCATTTTAACATATTACTGTTTTAAGTTTGTTAGTCTTACAGGTTGGAATTCTCCAGAAACCAAGCAAAACATGAGAAGTTTATTAAATTAGTTTGAAGGAATTTTTGCAAAAAAGAAAAAAAAAACAAAATAAAACCACGAAAACTGTGACAGTCTAAAGGGAATGTCACATGCTAAGAGAAAATACAAACACACTAAATGAAAATGGCACCTTGTTCAACTTTATTTATTTACTGTGTGCCACCTTGTCAGCCTGAATCCTTCTTTTTAATAAATACAGGCAATACTAACACCCTGAAGTCAGTTTTCTCCTTTCTTTGTAACTAAAAAGCCATAACTGGCTTAGCTGGTCTTTTGATTTGTTCCATAAGCCAGCTACCTAGGCTGTCCTCCCGCCACACAACCCCCAAGTCAGTGCAGCTCAACGGAGAGAAACAGAGACCTGGGAGGAGGCACAGGAGCCTCATTTCAAACTCAGGACCACTCATCACCAACATCACAACACTGATCATGTTAAAAGTTTCTTTGGCCTAAAGAACTGAAGCACTGTTCATGCCCCTGCCAGATAAAAGTGTTTGTTTCTTAATTTTAACAACACAGGTTTCGGCACCAGGGTTTTGTAATAAGTCAAATAATACAGGTGTCTCAAGTAAAATCACAGTCCTCCTACCTTTGTGCTCAATTCATTCCATCTGAAGTATACACTGTTAGTCATATATGGCTGTTAGAAAAGACTTTTAAGAAAGCTAGTATCAGCATTTAAGATCAGCATTTCTACTCTTTTTTTTTTTTTTAAGTGTGCTTGCATGCACACATGCAGTTAGTGTTCAGAGAAGCCAAAGGCATCAGATTCCCTGAAGCTGGAGTTACAGGAGGTTGTGAGCAGCAGTAGTCATGATGGGAATTGAACTCTGTTCTTCTGTAAGAACACTATGTGTTCTCTCTTCCCAAATTTGTGTGTGTGTGTGTGTGTGTGTGTGTGTGTGTTA